CAGAGCATCTGAAGTAACTATGACTATGCCTGGTTAATTTTCAAAATATATTTTATAGAGATGAGGGTCTCACTGTGTTGTCCTGGCTGGTCTCAAACTCCTGGTGTCAAGCAATTCTCCCACATTGACTTCCCAAAGTGTTGGGATTACAGGCATAAGTCACCACACCTGGCCCAGAAATGTTCTTAAAAGCATAAGAAGTAGAGTTAAGTGCTCTTAAGACATATATAGGCCAGGTGCAGTGGCTCTCGCCTGTAATCCCAGCACTTTGGGAGGCCAAGGCAGGCGGATCACGAGGTCAGGAGATCGAGACCATCCTGGCTAACACCCGTCTCTACTAAAAATACAAAAATTAGCCAGGTGTGGTGGAGGGCACCTTTAGTCCCAGCTACTGGGGAGGCTGAAGCAGGAGAATGGGGTGAACCTGGGAGGCGGAGCTTGCAGTGAACCGAGATCGCTCCACTGCACTCCAGCGTAGGTGACAGTGCGAGATTCTGAAAAAAAAATAAAAAGAAAGAAATACATAAAGGGGGAAAGTATGCTACCTAATATAAAATGTCACAGCTCAGTCACAGTCACTAAAACAGATCGAGGAGTTAAAAAGATATGGCAAGACTGAGAACTGACATGGAGGAACAGCAGTGGTTAGGAAGCTGGAGGTGGGCTTGTCCAACCTGGGAAAGCAGAATCAAAGCATGAGTGAGCCTGAGATGGGCACAGAGGAGCTCCACGTGTGCCCTCAGGTGATACAGGCAGGCCAGCTCAAGGCTATCAGGTAGATAGCATCTGAAGTGTGAAAAGTCTGGCATTAGATGAAATCTCAAACTGCATCATAATTGAGAGTCTTGGAATGTTTTTATGGGCCATAAAACTAATACCAGGTACAGTATAGGGATGATAGAGAAGGTCGGTAAATGCAGTAAGCCTTTACATAAACAGATGCCCAGCAGTTGGCTAGAAAGTGTTGATGTACTTTATTTAATTTGGATACATGAAAGTAATATGTTGAAATTAACCTCTTTCTCTGAATATTCTCCTTCTGTCAGTCAATTCTTTAATTACTGCCTTCTCCCTTTAATATTTTGACAAGAAAAATTATTTCTTGCCAGTTTACAGTTGCATTATTTTAACACCTTTGGCCTTTAATAATGCATTTTACTTATTCTAAATTGCATACATTATTTTGTTACGTTTTTAACATCTTTACAATTGAGATAGATCTTATGACTAATAGAATCTTAGAGAAAAACCAGTATTCAGGGTCAGTGGGTCTACAGATTCCTTCTTCTGAGGGATGTTTACATTTAGACCTGAGCATAACTTTTTTAAGTCATACATTTCCCCATCATTCTATTATGCTGCCAGATTACATTGTAACTTAAATTGATCATACAACAACACTGGGTCTTAAAATACAGTGATAGTTATAGCCCCAATCATGAGATCAAAAATATTTTCCTAGTTTCAAACATTTTAGGAGGTTACAAAAATAATTTTTGAAGGCATTCACATGTAAGTTGTGTAGTTACTGTGTTTTTATCCTCTGGATGTCTCTAAATCTCTACATGTGCCTGTTTATGGAGTCTAATATTTTATTTAATGGTTGGCCATCTTTTGTGACAATGAAAAACGAGTAGTGTGATTTCTCAGAGTCTTCTTAGGCTCTTGGGAAAAGAGTTAATGGAGAATGCAGAAATAACAGTGTATGTGTGTAAGTTTACTGTCTAATGACTCAAGTGTCCATTCTATAAAATAGCAATATGTGGTATTTGCCATCAGCAGAAATTACAAGTTATATAGAAAATTGTGGTAGGCTATAGACATAAAATGAATATTTTCTGTAAGCCCCATACAAATAAACACTAGTAAATTCCTAGTGAATTCAGTACATATAGTATGTACAAATGATATGAAACTCATCAAAGTGGAAATAATGTTGTTAACTATGGGAAAATGGTCAAAGTGTATAATCTAATAAACAAATACAAACTAGAGCCTCTGAACTAGAAGCTAAAACTGGTGTGATTTGTAATCCCCTAATATGCCCATATCTTCTTTAGAAAGCAACTTAGCGCTGTATATTGATTCATGAAAACAATGTCACCTTTGTTCTAGTCATTCCACTTTTGAAAATCTTTCCTAAGGATCTCTAAAAAAAGTACCAGATACTATACATGAAGGTTTTCCTCATAAGAACAAAACTTTGTAAATGCCTAAATCACCAACAATAGGGCATTGGCTAAGTAAAGTATAGGAATAACACTTGATTAGCCAATATTTTCCAAAGGGGTAGAGGTCATTTGTAAGAAAACAAAACATAAAGGGTGTACTGCTTAGAGTTATTTTTTTTTTTTTTACCATGCATAAGGAAAACAAAAAGTAATGGTTGTGAGTTTTAAACAAGGCATTATTTTGGCTCTTGCAAATTTCTGTTCTTGATAAGACATTTCTTAAAGAAGTAAGCAAGAGACTTTTGCCTATTCCTATCTTTAGTGTAACCATCAATACTATCAATAGTGCTGACTAACCAGGTCTCTTACAGTTGCCAGTTGAAGAAAATCCACCTCACAATAGTTAAAAATGTTTATTGAAAAATTAACTTGTATAGCCAGGGAGTTAACAGGAGTCAGTGAGGCACTACTTGACCAAGGAATCAAATGATATCCTCAGAACCTTCTCAGTTATGCTCTTTTCTGTTGATCTCTACTGAAAATACCCTTCTCTTGATGGCAGTGGAGCCACTGGCAACTCCTGGTCAGCTACCAGTCCTGTGCGTCAGTTCTTCCTTTCTCCTCTAGTTCTTGGGAAGTCCCAGATGAACTGTGATTGACTGGCCAACGCCTTGGTCAGATGCCCAGCATAAAACCCCAGGAATGGGGGTTGTTACTTGGGTGATCTTGTTTTATTTCCTGTATGTTTTCATTTCTTCTTGATTTTCATATTGAAATACACAGTAGCACGTCTTGGTTTTATGTGCGGGATATATGTGTATGGGCATAAGCCTGCTACTTTTGGAATCTTGTACATAATTTTCCTGGGCTTCCATGGAAAATTCCAAATTAAACATTATGACACAGATACTGAAACATAATATGAATTCTGCAAACATTACTTGTTATGTTTCACACTGAAATGATAATATGTTTGCTTTTTTGATAGAAAGTAGTCATGGACTCTTCCAGAAGCTTTAGGTTAGGGACAGGTATACAAGTTTCTTTCTGTCATGTTGTGCACAAACAATTTTTATTTTTCCACGTAGCTAACATTATATCATCAGATTTTCAAATATGTGGGAAAAAGCTTGAAAATGACTTTTGTGTAAATTTTTTGCATAAGAATAGTTTTCTCCCAGTGAACTTCAAATCATGGAGAAAAAACAGATTTTTTAGCTATGTAATATTCTTGTGAGATGGCAGTATTATTAAAATGGATGATTCGGATTTCTGCTAAATCAGAAACTCCCAAATTATTTTTATACTAGATTCTAACCACTTTAGTTGGAGGGAAGAAAAGGATCCTGGGTAGATAAATTTGTGAATTGCTGAGTTGGACAGTATTCACTAATACACTGATTAGTTTTTACTATATCACTGTGCACTTTGATTTTGTAAAAGCAAGGTATAGAGTGGATTGCAATTTGCTCACTATACCCCTTTTTAAAAAGTAGAACAGTTATTAATATGTGATTTGGAAAATATTGCCTTAACTATTATTCTGTGTGGCTCTTCACCTAGTTTCTTACAAGATTGCTTAAGATAAGTGGGTTGAGATGGACAGTGCTGAGAAGTGTCATAGGTTTGTATTGTTTTCCTTTATTACAACTTGTATTATGTGATGACAAAGTTTGTGTAATAAAAATTCAGAATATTATTTTTAGTCTTGCTTAAATGGATTATCTCACTTTGGTGCAAGGTGGACTGTAAACAGACCTACCTTGACATACATAGGGCCAACATTTTTTAGAAGCAGGTCTAAGTAAGATCTGTTTCAAAAGCACTCTTGATGAAGTCCCAAATGAATCATGCTGTTGGAAAGAAGTGAGATTTTAGCTTTGGAAATTTAGGGCAAAAGTTAAAAATCATTTTCTGACATGAAAATGTCCTTATAGATTAGAGCATTGAACTTTTTGTGCAGTCCATTTAAATCTACCTTGATGAATTGCCCCTGAATAAATCACAGCTAAGTAAATGAATTAGCCATGTTATTTTCTGAGGGATATTGGCCAAAAAACAGTTCTCTTTATTTTACCATATTTTATATATTTAAATAGTTTCTGACAGTAATTTTTCCACAGCATCACTTCCTGCTTGAGACTATTCCTAAAATGTGCTGCAAATATCAGTAGAGAGGCAAGTGATTATATTTTTATTTAATAAGTAGAAGGGGTAGATGCAGGAGGCAGATGAGGGGCAGGGTCCCTGGAGAATCTGTGACCTGCCTATGCACTGGGAGAATGGGGTGGGGTCACGGGAAGTTTGCATCTTATGCAGTGGGGAGGAGCCTGGCCTCTTCAGCTTGTGTGTGGTGGCCTGGTATTCAGTCTGTGAGTTGGGAGCCCGCTGGAAGGATCCCCTCTCGCTTTTCTGAGATTTTTTTTTTTCCTTTTTGCCAAATAAATTATATTCTACTCACCCTTCAATGTGTCCTTGAGCCTAATCTTTCTTGGTCATGTGACAAGAACCTGGTTTTAGCTGAACTAAGGAGCAGAGTTTTGCAGCAGAAGGAGCAGGGCATGTATATGACTTCTCTTTTGCATTAGATTATTTAGTTTTAGTCTCTTTGAAAGTCCTTGACATAGCTCAGTTTTATTCCATATATATACAGAGAGACTATAATTTTGCATTCCCAAGTAGAATTATTATATTTTTGCCTTTATTTCCTTCATATTTATTATTAGAAACTTTTTTCAGGACTATTTAAAGTGATTAAAATGAATATGTAGCTATTTTAAAAATCATTTTTTCGATTCACATAAATTATCACATTTTTTTTCTCTGTAGGTAGAGCTTTGGAGCCAAACCCTTCTGATGATCCAAGGGCAAGCACAATCTTCCTGCGAAAATATCAAACAGATGGTGAGACGACATTGTTTTTCCACCAAGAAGACGACTGAAAACTCTCTGTCACAATGAGTGTATTATAGAAAGTATTTAGAGAAACTTACATTGGTTTAAATTTTTCAACTTTTCATATATTCGATTGTCCTATTTTAATGTGTGATATACTTTAGTTGTTACTGTGTGAGTGAAAACATGTAAACTCTCTGTTCACACATTTTGCTACCTTTTAGCAATACCATTTGTCGTGATTTAAGAGTAGTCATAGATTTATCTTTATTCATAATTTTTGTCTTTTGCCCTTTTTCCCTTGCTCCAAAGAGTTCATTTTAATGATGAATGATCTAATTTAGGCTTCAGCTTGGTTTTTATTTAAACAAATAAAAAATCATTTGTTCATCAATGGGGATTGAATTTGTGATTTCAGCCTCCTCTTATACAGTGCTTTAACCATATGAGTTTATCACATCCAAGTTTATGCTACTCAAAACTTTTAAGCTATTAAACTTTTCCTGTTAATGTAATATAAATGTAAACATCCAGCACTACTGCTTATTTTTAAAATGTTATGTTAAATTCTAGTTTATTTGATTAAAAAGCCATACACAACCAAGTTTTTTAGTCGATTTCAACAGCAAGAATATAAATGAGGGTTCTATAATAATATTTGAAGTAATGAAGCACAACAAAATATGGGTTTCTAATTGTGCTTTTATGGTTTGTGTAGATTTTGCCTGCCTTAAGTCAGTCATTTCTGGTCAGGACTTGTGTTTGTTCATTTTTGCATTGCTATAAAGACATACCTGAGTCTGGGTAATTTATTTTTTAAAAAAGTTTAATTGGCTCCTAGGTCTGCAGGTTTTACTAGCACAGCTTCAACACCTGCTTCTGCTGAGGGCCTCACCAAACTTACAATTATAATGGAAGGCAAGGAGAGCAAGTGGTTTCACATGAGAGAGGGAGCAAGGCAGAGGGGAAGGGGGAAGGTGCCACACTCTTAACTAGCTCTTAGGTAAATTACCAGAATGAGAATTTGCTCACTATTGTGAGGATGGCACCAAGCCATTCATAAGGAATCCACCGCCATTACCCAAACACTTCCCAGGAGGCTCTGTCTCCAACATTGAGGGTCACATTCTCATATGAGATCTGGAGGGGGGGAAATACCTAAACCATATCAGAATTGTATTTATCAGTTTCTTCCAGAGCCATGGGCTTCTCACAGAGTGTGTGGAAGCAGTGAAGGCTATTTCATGTCCCTCAAGTCTTCAGTGGTAGGAATGTTTGCCTTCAAGGCCTTCCAGCATCAAAGGAGGAGGCAGTGTAGGAAACAAACATGGCCCAAGTCCCTCTTGGAGCTCTTATTATCTGTCTCTTATACACATCTAGATGTGTATAAGAGACAGGTCCTTGAGCCTAATCTTTCTTGGTCATGTGACAAGAACCTGGTTTTAGCTGAACTAAGGAGCAGAGTTTTGCAGCAGAAGGAGCAGGGCATGTATATGACTTCTCTTTTGCATTAGATTATTTAGTTTTAGTCTCTTTGAAAGTCCTTGACATAGCTCAGTTTTATTCCATATATATACAGAGAGACTATAATTTTGCATTCCCAAGTAGAATTATTATATTTTTGCCTTTATTTCCTTCATATTTATTATTAGAAACTTTTTTCAGGACTATTTAAAGTGATTAAAATGAATATGTAGCTATTTTAAAAATCATTTTTTCGATTCACATAAATTATCACATTTTTTTTCTCTGTAGGTAGAGCTTTGGAGCCAAACCCTTCTGATGATCCAAGGGCAAGCACAATCTTCCTGCGAAAATATCAAACAGATGGTGAGACGACATTGTTTTTCCACCAAGAAGACGACTGAAAACTCTCTGTCACAATGAGTGTATTATAGAAAGTATTTAGAGAAACTTACATTGGTTTAAATTTTTCAACTTTTCATATATTCGATTGTCCTATTTTAATGTGTGATATACTTTAGTTGTTACTGTGTGAGTGAAAACATGTAAACTCTCTGTTCACACATTTTGCTACCTTTTAGCAATACCATTTGTCGTGATTTAAGAGTAGTCATAGATTTATCTTTATTCATAATTTTTGTCTTTTGCCCTTTTTCCCTTGCTCCAAAGAGTTCATTTTAATGATGAATGATCTAATTTAGGCTTCAGCTTGGTTTTTATTTAAACAAATAAAAAATCATTTGTTCATCAATGGGGATTGAATTTGTGATTTCAGCCTCCTCTTATACAGTGCTTTAACCATATGAGTTTATCACATCCAAGTTTATGCTACTCAAAACTTTTAAGCTATTAAACTTTTCCTGTTAATGTAATATAAATGTAAACATCCAGCACTACTGCTTATTTTTAAAATGTTATGTTAAATTCTAGTTTATTTGATTAAAAAGCCATACACAACCAAGTTTTTTAGTCGATTTCAACAGCAAGAATATAAATGAGGGTTCTATAATAATATTTGAAGTAATGAAGCACAACAAAATATGGGTTTCTAATTGTGCTTTTATGGTTTGTGTAGATTTTGCCTGCCTTAAGTCAGTCATTTCTGGTCAGGACTTGTGTTTGTTCATTTTTGCATTGCTATAAAGACATACCTGAGTCTGGGTAATTTATTTTTTAAAAAAGTTTAATTGGCTCCTAGGTCTGCAGGTTTTACTAGCACAGCTTCAACACCTGCTTCTGCTGAGGGCCTCACCAAACTTACAATTATAATGGAAGGCAAGGAGAGCAAGTGGTTTCACATGAGAGAGGGAGCAAGGCAGAGGGGAAGGGGGAAGGTGCCACACTCTTAACTAGCTCTTAGGTAAATTACCAGAATGAGAATTTGCTCACTATTGTGAGGATGGCACCAAGCCATTCATAAGGAATCCACCGCCATTACCCAAACACTTCCCAGGAGGCTCTGTCTCCAACATTGAGGGTCACATTCTCATATGAGATCTGGAGGGGGGGAAATACCTAAACCATATCAGAATTGTATTTATCAGTTTCTTCCAGAGCCATGGGCTTCTCACAGAGTGTGTGGAAGCAGTGAAGGCTATTTCATGTCCCTCAAGTCTTCAGTGGTAGGAATGTTTGCCTTCAAGGCCTTCCAGCATCAAAGGAGGAGGCAGTGTAGGAAACAAACATGGCCCAAGTCCCTCTTGGAGCTCTTATTATTCTGGCCTTTGTTAGAAAAAAAATGATTTCCTTTGCTGCAGATACTATGTCAAATTAAGTTTGCAAACTCATTTTAAAATTTAAATGTAAGATAGGTTACTTTCCAGTTGTGCAAAGACACATTTTTTTTGTTAGTGACATATTAGTTTATGACCAATAAGTGGTTTGAGATGCTTAGAGGAATTCTGGTGCATCTACAGATTTGTACCTGGCCAGGAACTAGTTCTTAGAGCTGCTAGCTCTTAGATTCTGGTAATTAAAGTAAGCCATGTGTAAACACAGAGTGAGAAAATACCAATGAATCGTGGCTCATATATGCAACAGTTAAACTTAGTTAAATTTCTCATCTGGCTTAATTTGTTATGCCCATTTTTTTGTACATGAGGGTTATTTCATTTGACTGTAATAGTGTGTGTGTGTGTGTGTATATATATATACACATATATATGTATATATTTATATATATATATATTTCACCCCCCTCCCTGAGACGGAGTCTTGCTCTGTCGCCCACAGCTGGAGTGCAATGGTGCAATCTTGACTCACTGCAACCTCCGCCTCTTGATTTAAGCAATTCTCCTGCCTCAGCCTCCCAAGTAGCTGGGATAACAGGCACGTGCCACCATGCCTAGTTGTGAATGTAATAGAATATCTGTTAGGTCAAAAAGTAAAGCCAAGGTTTTAGATTTTACTTTATGAGATTTATTATGCCCTATAATTTAAATTATAAATAGTTGGAAATTATTTTTAAATGGAATTTTGTCTCATTTTACATAGGGATAATTAATCAGATGCTAGCAACTATTTTATTTTGTGATATTTGTACCAGACTAATTTTTTTTTATTCTTAGTTCAAGAAAAGAGAAAGAACAGATGCACAAACCATGTAAGTAAATAGTCACAAAGTTAAGAAATTCATAGTATGAAGTAAAATATTTCTATCTTGATTCCTTAAAAATAAAATGGGGACCCAGTGCTATTAGCATGGAACTCTCTTTGTGGACTTTGTAAATGCCTTCTATCTTTCCAAGTATCAGATTTATGCAGAAAAGTCTTTAGCTTAGTGTGTCCACCTTTTAAAGGATGTGACATGCAAGTTAAATTTTAAGAATCTGGTTGTGGTATAAAGATCTTTATTTAATCTTAAAATAAATCAAACAACAAAATTAGAATAGCTAAGTTTATTTTCCACACTATCTATTGACTTTCTGGTATAGCAGGAAAAGCACAGCTTTCCGGTTACACCATGATGTTATTTTTTTCCCACTGTTTTTTCCAATTGTAGCACATTTTTTATTAAATCAGTAATATTTACATGATTCTGCTTATGCCAGTATTATTTACTGCTAAGTCATATGGTGTTTCAGCTGTGCATCTGCATTACATATCCTTCATTCATTTAAATGGTTCTGATATCTGAGCACTTCTGCACTTCTCCCAGATAATCCTTTTCCTCGCCTACATTAGTTTACCCAGCCAAATGCTGGCTGTTAATGTAATATAAATTTAAACATCCAGTACTACTGCTTATTTTTAAAATGTTATGTTAAATCCTAGTTTATTTGATTAAAAAGCCATATACAACCATGTTTTTTAGTTGATTTCAACAGCAAGAATATAAATGAGGGTTCTATAATAATATTATAGTAATAATAGTAATAAGAAGCCCCGGGCTGGTCTCTCTGCTTTCACATCCTGTAATTTTTAGCATAGAATTAATTGTCTGACTATATTCATTTGCCTGTTCTCTAACAGTTATTCTTACCCCAAGTGTTGTAACATTTGTCACATGCATATCAAAAATATTCATCAGCTCAAATACATCTGTTTTATATTTCTCTTAAGGCAACTTTCCTTGGCCTTTTGTCATCCTAGTTCAATGTACAGTGACTTTCCCAGATATGCTACATGCTTGCTTTTCTAAGCTATCTCTTGAAAGTCTTCTGAGATCTCACATAACTGCTCTCCTCTGTGAGATTCCCTGAGTCTTAGATTCTGTGTTTCCTTCTGCCTTGTTATTCTCTCTAGTTGTACTAGAGCACATTTTCCTAGGCACCTGGGAATATGTTGAGAGACCCAGCCAGTCTTAAAACCCTTCCTCGTTGATACAGAATAAAATTTTAGGTTGAAACTAAATGTTACAGTTCTAAAGGTATTTTGTAATTCTGTTCTCATTATAGTATTGTTTTTTAATCTATTGCCATTGTGTGATACATTATTTGTAACCGGGTTTTACATATCTCTAGAAGCTTTTTAGGACCTTCTTTCTCTCTGGGATTCTGAAATTTTATAATACAGCTTGGTGTGGGGATCTTTTCCCTTTACTGGGGCTACTAAGTCTTCAGATTATCTCTTTGAGAGAATTTCTTTTCTTCTCCATTTTCTCTATTACTTTTTTTTATATTCTTTTTATTCAGATGCTGGGCTGCTTAGACTCGTGTGTCCACACTGGTTTTTAATCCCCCCACTCCCTCCTATTTTCCAGTTTGTCTTTTCATTCTACTTCTTGGATATTTTTTACTTTATACTTTAATATTTCTCTTGTTACTCTTGTTGAGGGTATTTTTTAAAAGTTTTGCTTCTGAATTTTTACTGGTCCCATGCATTATTTTTTCCTGTTGTTTTGATCTCTCTTGTATGGTGGTCCTTGACTTTCACTGGAAGCAGGACTTCTGTTCACTAAGGAGAGTCACTGTGAGATTTTGGAAATGAAGCCAGCATTTCATCTGGGGGACTTCAGTGTATTATCTGGGGATCTTTACTCTGGGACCATTCAGTTCCTTCTGAGAAGGATCTCCCAGTTTTCTGCCTGGGATATAAAAGCATGGCTACTTGCTTTCCAGAAGCAGAGGTGGAGTTCTGCTTCTTGATGTACAGTTTTTCCCATCTCTCAGGTTTTAGCTATGGTATCTCCGAGCCCAGAAATTTCAGCTTTTATATATCCAGAGAACACACATTTAAATTCTTTGTAAGATGGAAGGACAGGTGGACTTGGGGCTCTAACCACAGATTTTCAACTGACCTTGCTGGCTTTTATTTTATGTTTCACCCTACTTTCAAAGGTGCCATTTCCCTCTAAGTTAAAGTCTGCCTTGGGTTCTGGAAGACAAACTGGCTTGCTTGTTTCCGTTCCAGTCACTTCTTGTAGGCACCAAAGTTGTGCTACCATGCCAGACACCACTCCATTATCTACTTTTTATAATTCAGCATTTATTAAAAATCATCACTGTCAATCTTCTCTATTGGTCCTGCATATAACTTTTATGAGTAATTCTAATGACATTTCAGGAGGGAGAGGGGATAAATTTATGGTCAATCTATTATATTTAACCCAAATTTATGACCTATATTTAAAGTGTAAATTATAATTTAATTTCAGTATAATTAATATTAATCCAGAGAATTTAACATATATATTTATAATAAACTTACTACACTTTTCTACCAAGGCCTTTTTAAATTTTCTTTTTATTTCTGAGACAAGGTCTTACTCTTTCATTCAGGCTGAAGTGCAGTGGTGCAATCTCACCTCACTGCAACCTCCATGTCCCAGGTTCAAGTGATTCTCCCACCTCTAGTCTCCTGAGTAACCGGGATTACAGGCGCCCACCACCACACCTGGCTAAATTTTAGTAGAGACAGGGTTTCACTATGTTAGCCAGGCAGGTCTCTGACTCCTGACCTCGAGTGATCTGCCTGCCTTGACCTCTCAAAGTGCTGGGATTATAGGTGTAAGCCACTGTGACAGGCCTTTGTTTAGTATTCCTATTCAAATTTTATACCCTGCCATATTGTTCCATTACTTCACACTATAAATGGAGTTGTTTTCATTCATGTCCAAAGTATTGGAAATATTAAATTAAAATGTGTTCATTTTTAGCCTGATCAACATAGCAAGACTGCATGTCTACAAAAACATTAAAAAACAAATTAGCCAGGCATGGTGGCATGTGCCTGTTGTCTTACCTACTCAAAAAGCAGAGAGACAAAAGTAAACTTCAGAATTTTCAATGGGCTAAAACAAAAGGCAACAGGTACAACGAAAAAAAAAGTCAGTATAGGAGTTCAACAGATACTGGACCTTTGATGGTGATGTTTTGGTTTTGGCTTACTAAACTATGAGGTATGATGATTTTCTAGTCTTCGTTATTCAACCTTAAGACTACTAAGTAACACCTTCCATTTTGTGTTAAAGTTTGCAAAATTTTACATTCTTGGTATTTATGCTGACTGTATGAAGATAATTTGTTCCTTTCTAGTTTTGACTACCTGAAATAATACCTATAAACAGTAAGCTGTTAGTGTCTTTGATATAATTAAATATAGTAAGATTTATCTTCCAAATTGGAACTGATTTAATTAATTTGTCAAGCACCTGTTGAACTTTTAAACTTGTCCAAAATTCTGTGCTCAGCATCTCCAGGTAGAGAAGAAAGGACTCTCCCTTCCTTGGAAAGACCTATTTTCTGATGAGGGGAGTACTCTGTAAGAATTGGTATCATGTAACGAGTCGTGAATTAGACTGACTAGGTTACAAAAATGGAAATATTTTGTGGTGTGGTTGCTGGCAAAGGAATCTCAGAGGGTGAATGGGGTCATGCTTGCTGGGACAAAGAAAAAGAATCCTAGGCAGAGAGCAGCAGGAAAATGTGTGGCAGGAAAATGTGTACGAGCAGGTCAAATGACTTGTAGAATAAAATGAATCAACTTTTGAAAGAGTGTTATTTGTTTTTCCATTCATGAGAGTGATGTCCTGGCAGTCTTATTGAAACATGAAGTGAAAGTTAAATTCCTAGAGTTGTCTTTGTTATCTGTTTTCAGGGTGTGAGATAATATTAAAGTCGGAGTCTTTTTATCTTCCATGTAAGAAAACAGGACTACAGAATGCTATGACTTTCTCTATTGTTGGTTATGGAGCAGCCCTGGCACACAGAGCTTCTGAATCTAAAACACTTGTTTTGTCCCACTGTCTCCTGGAAGATTACATTTAGGATTAGTAACTTAGTAATGTAGCATTAATCTTCATTCATTGCAATAAAATGCTCTTGTGCCAATATTATTTAACGCATTACAGCTTATTGTAGTAAGTAAATAATAGAAAATCTCAGCTGCTTTACATTGCTTTAAAAACACTGAAATCTTAGACATTTCTCATTATTTATAAAGGGGAATTCACAATAGACGCTTGCCAGGTCTGATGATAGGTACCATATTAAGGGTAGCCTTTTATAACCCATTTCTCAAACATCCTCTGTTGAATTTAAGAGCCTCCAATGGGTTTCCCATGGAGTGCACATGATTCCACACTCAGTTCACGAAGTATAAGAAGTACCTTAGTACTTTGTCATTTGACATTTTAATCAATGGGAAAAAATACACTTTTATCAGTTTAACTTACTGTGATGTTTTCTTCTATTTCCCTTCCCCTTCAGCTATCTACTAAGCCTTTTACTACAAAGTACAGCTCGTGTTCAACCATATACTTAGATGACAGCACAGTCAGCCAGCCTCATTTTACAACCACAATAAAATCGTGAGTACAACTATGAAGTCAAGGGACACAGCCCCTTTTTCTAAAATCATCCCAGCCATCCTCAGTTATTTTAGTCATTTGATTGTCTTTTTCAGCAATCAGTCTAAGAAACTGTTGTCAACTGTATATTGATTTCCAATTCTAAATATTAATTTTCAAAAACTATTAATTTTCAGTTTCTCCTTTAACTTTAGACTTCACATTGGAAGGGAAAATTGGTTAGCAAATAATCAATCCCTGGAAAAGTGTAGTTATTTATTTGATGCTTTTTTGCCTTCTGACAATGTTGAATACAATGAGTAGGATAGGTGTCCTTTATAGGACATTCCCCCCCCCCCAAAAAAAAAGGTTTTTTTATGAGTTACAGGCCTAAATCAATCAATATGTACTACTTTTGACATCAATCTTGGAAGAAGGAACAACTGTTTCTCCACTGGCATCGTAGTGTATCTGCATTTGACTTCCCTTCATTTTGCATGAACACCTCATAGGGCACAATTGAAGATGCACCTTTAGAACAACCTAAGATGAGCCTTTCAAGTTTATTTTAAAAGCAACAAAACCACCACCAGCTCTGTTGGGGTTGCCTAGAGAACATCATTATCATCGGCTTGGATTATGAGTGTTTAATTTTTAGAACACAGTTTTAGAACACAGTTTGGAAAGTGCTAATTTAGAATATTAACGTCTTTATCTTTCATTTTACTTCTTTTTCTTCACAAGAGGATGGTTGTCAGTTTTACTTTTCATTCTATAAACATAGCTGCTTATAAACAATTTTGTTTCTAATGCACTAGCTTTCCTAGCCAAACCAGTTGTCAGTAACTTCTATTCTAATTAAAAGTAGGAAGTTTACACTCATAATAATGCCATTTTTCTATCTCACTTCTAACAGTGGTTGAGATAAAATTGTGTTTCATCAAGAACTTGACTCAAACTCTGTCTAAAGTCTTAAGCTTTGTGACCTATTAATTAATTACTAAACTTCTGTATTCAGCCAAGTCTCTAAATCCTTGGGGGAAAAAAAAATTGCTGTACTTTGGCTAGAGTCCCTGGCTTCTATTCAAAAGATTGTAATATGTTAATATACAATTCAGAAGTAGTTTTAAAGATTAATCCTGCTCAAACAAGTATTAATAAATTTTATCTTTTTTCTCCACCATTCTAATTTTTAGAATTCTACTTTAAGTGTAGTTTTAATTTTCTGTCAGCAAGTTTGATAAATGATCACCTGGTATATTCACTATTGGTAAAATAAAGGTTTATCGAGCAAATTAATAGGACAAAGTGGGTTTATGAACAGATTTCGGAAAATGTTTTATACAGGTGAGTAGAGTATTGTTCTCAATGGAATGCATGGACCACATTTGATTACTTATGCAAGTTTTCTTAAAATGTATGTCTGCAATCACATGCTTCTTCCTACCTCCACCTCTCTTTCAACTCTAGGCACTCAGAAGCCTTTTAAGAAAATAGGGATGAATGTGAGGCATTCTTATATGGATAAAAGCATCCCAGAAGGTTCTGATTTGAACCCCAACTCAATCATTCCAAAACCCTGCTGTACATTCGAATCACTTGGGACATTTTAACAACAACCCGATGTTCAAAGTTATACACAATGCTAATTAAATCAAAATGTTTCATGTTAAAAAGAAGGCAGTTTTTAAAGCTCCTCAGTTGATTCCAATGTGTAGCAAAGTTCGAGAGCCACTGCCTGATTTGAATTTAGGACAACAAACTGCTCCTCTGTGGTGGGACATTGGGCAAGTCAATTTTAAACATTGTTTTTCTTATCTATAAAATGGTGTTGGAGTAAATGTCATTTAGATCCTTGGTCCTTTTCAGCAGGTAACTTCAAATTCTGTTATTTTAGAATTATTTTAGAGATTAAAAGCTTCTTGAAGCACTATAGACATAGCCATCTTAGATACTAATGTTACAAGCTTTTTAAAAAGTGCTAATATTATATAGGCCTACTGTTAAAATTCAGATTTGCCTTCCTTCAATTATTTGAGCCTCATTTTAGATGCTGTGGGCAGATGGAAAAACATAACTCATGTTTCCTGATACACTGTCTGTAGATAAGAATTCTGTAACATATATCTGAAGAGTTTTATTTGTTCGTAAATATTTCATTTAAACTAATTGAAAGTACCTGCCCTTAATATGATACTGTGTAGTGCTATGCTGCATTATCGTTAGCACTGCTTATTTTCAGAGAGCTATGATTGATTTTGTGTGTACTTAGGTTTACTAACATTAATTACGCAAAAGTGGTTTTAAGTGATTTAATTTGGTATAAAACACTTTTATCATTAATTTTTAGGAAATAATAAAACATGGGTGGGTAGGAGATAGTTAATTAAATCAACTAAAGTGCAGGGCCTAACAACTTTAAAAAAGCACTAGTGTATGTCTTAAATTTAAGCATATATACACATGGGTATAAATTGCATGGGATGAAAGGTTTTGTGGGTAGAAGAACGTGTTACAGGGAAATATGTTATGATTTATATATTATAATCATCAACAGAAACATGTCTTCTAACAGTATATTGCCTAGCATTTTGATCCTCATATTTTTGTTAAAAACCAAAAAACTAAAACAAGAATATAGTGCCCTAATGGTAGTGTTCTGAAGTAAAAGATTTAAATTTCAGAGCCACTGGGATAATTTCTTCCTCCTTCCTTTTTAATAAAGTTTTTAGACCCAACAAATGATAAAAATCTATTGTTATGATTTTTTTCTCTTTCTATAGTGTGGCCTTAGCAATATATTATCACATGAAGAAAAGGTGAGCTCTTTTAAAACCTTTCTTGTTATTCCAATTGATTACATTTTGTAATATCAAGTTCAGTGTTAGTTCATAGCTATAGACATCATCAGCTGTATTGTGCCTACTAAAATATTGAAGCAGATTATTTGTGTTTTCTTTTACCCTTAAGACTCTTTTAAGTCCTAACTCAGTGAGAATCCCAAAGAATCTGTGTTTATATACTGTGTAAGAAATTAAAATCGAGATCTTTTAAAAATCTGTTTCTGGTTTAGATTTTACTACCTTAGCACTATTGATATTTTGAGCTAGATAATGCTTTGTTTTGAGGAAATAAATGCTTTATTGGTGCATTGCAGAAAGTTTAGTAGCATTGATGGCTTTTACCCACTAGATGTCAGTAGTAAGCAATAAGTAGGTTGTGACGACAAAAATATTTTCTTAGAACTATATCGTTAACATAAATAACATTTTTTAAAGAAAAATAACTTCTCTACAATAAAAAGTAGAGTAAAAAGTGTGTCATATATTGATATTATTGCAAACCTCTAAAGTTTGGCGTAATAGAAGACAGCTGTATTCTGTTCGCAATTTTTTTAGAGAAGCAATAAGATGATCAAGCTTCATGCAAATATGCAACTACCAAAAGATATATCTTTAAAGCTTTTAGATAATTGTGAGTGTTCTTTAATACTACCTCAAAACTCCACAAGTGCTCGTTTCTTAGTTACAGGGGAATTTTACATATCAATACATTTATTTCATCAATACTCACTGATTTTTCTTGCACAGTAAATGGGTCTTCTCCCCATGCTTGCTTGTATAATAGTACGCATTGGTTATTTGGGAAATAATGGTTTATGTCTTGTTGTGTCAAAAACTCACTTTTGTTAGTATCACCATGTCTTATTAAAAGTTCTTTAAGTACAGAGAAGCTGTCAAGTTTACAGTAGAAGAAGTGTGTTTTCCAAAGTTCTGGTTTTCAGCTTGAAAGCATGACTATTATCATTGAGAACAGTTATTCTCTTTTTTAGTTTAGATTTTATATTAAGTTCATGGGTGTATGCGCAGGTTTGTTACCTAGGTAAACTTGTGTCATGGGGATTTGTTGTACATATTATTTCATTGCCCAGGTATTAAGCCTAGTACCCAGTAGTTATTTTTTCTGATCCTCTTCCTCTTCTCACCTTCCATCGTCCAAAAGATTTTAGTGTGTGTTGTTCCCCTCTATGTGTTAATGTGTTTCCGTCATTTAGCTCTCATCAATGGGAACATGTGATATTTGGTTTTCTATTCTTGTGTTAGTTTGCTAAGGATTATGGCCTCCAGCTCCATTCATATTCCTGCAAAGGACATGATCTTGTTCTTTTTATGACTGCATAGTATTCCATGGTATATGTATACCACATTTTCTTTATCCAGTCTAACATTGATGGGCATTTATGTTGATTCTATATCTTTGCTTTTGTGAATAGTGCTACAGTAAGACTATGGGTGCATGTGACTTTATAATAGAATGATTTATATTCTTTTAGGTCTATAGTCAGAAACGGGATTGGTCGGTTGAATGGTAATTCTGTCTGTAGGTCTTTGGGGAATCTCCAGACTATCTTCCACAATGGTTGAACTAATTTACACTTTCACCAGTAGGGGAACACTTATTTTCCATGATGTAAAAGGCTCACTTTATTCATTTTTGAGAATGATAGTTGTTTTACCTTTAAGTAAAAACAACATTTTATTTAAAAAAGTGATTATTCAGTTTACATTTAAATCACCAGTTCTTTTTCTTAACACAACCATACTGCAGTAAGAAGAAGTGCTTCTTGTTAACTTTCCACTTTTTCAGAGTATTAAATAGGAAGGTCAAGATTTAATAATACCATTAATTTTTACTGCTTCATCAAAGACATTCTTAACTAAATCAGACTCTCTTTTTTAACTGTAAGGGGCTGTGGAGAATAGAATGACTACTAGTGTAATTTGGTCACCTTGATTTATACTGAGAAACCAGCTATTTCACCCACTTGCTTTTATAAAATCATGGCAAGTGTCAAACAGTGAGAAAGCAGGCAATGCCTTCATATCCTTTTACTTTATTTTTTGTGTTTAATCAGCTTTCTCAGGCTGAATTAGTATTTTTATCAGAATAGTTTTGGCTGCTTGGGCCTCATGAAAAATGGTGTAGGGGATCTCCAGAGGTCCACAGAGCACATTGCAAGA